ACAACACTCTTGTTAATACACCCCAGAATATAATTTTTTTTAGCAGCTACATCCCTTTGTTGACGTGTATTCAATCTGAGATTCACTATTTCCCCCCTCCCCCCATCCTTTTCAGCAGTACTACACCTAGCCAATTATTCCCCATTTGGTAGTTTTATGCTTGATTTTTCCTTCCTATGTGAAGTACTTTGCATGTATCTTTATTGAATTTCATCTTGTTGAATTCTGACCAAGTCTCCAATTTGTCAAGATCGTTTTGAATTCTAAACCTGCTCTCCAAAGTTCTTGCAACCCCTCCTGAAATCAATTTTGTGGTTTACTCATAACCTCTAGCACACTTTTGGCAGCTCTAGGCATTTATTTATTGGTTTAAAAATAAATTTTTAATGCGCTATTTTCAGCAGTACAGAAGAGATGTCCATTTTAACAGGCAGTATCTTTCTTAAATATTGATTGCACAAACAATGCAGTTGGCTATGCTATGCTAAATGGAGAGATTGCATAGCTGGCATTTTATTAGCCTATTAACAGTTGTTAGTCATTATGTATTGTGGTGAAAAGTATTCTGTATTAATATATTGATTCCCCTCCCCCCACCCTCCCTGATAAATTATAGAGTGAATTATTTCCTCCAGAGCCTGTAGAGAGCTTTGAGGGAGATGGAGAAAGTTAAGGGTGTTACGTTAAAGAAAGCAACCCATGACACTGCCATGCTGCAGTATGATTCAAATAAAATACTTTAAGATTTCAATAGCCCTCTAACCATTTTCCATTTCTCTTTTTGTGATTAAAGTGAGGGTGTTAAGTTGTTAAAGGGAGTGGGAGGGCAAAAGTAGCATGTGGCCTGAGACTGCCGTCTCTTATGCATCTGAAGAAGTGAGGTTCTGACCCACGAAAGCTTATGCTCCCAGTACTTCTGTTAGTCTCAAAGGTGCCACAGGACCCTCTGTTGCTTTTTACAGATTCAGACTAACACGGCTACCCCTCTGATACTTGTCTCTTATGTGAGTAATCTTTACCTTGGACTTCTGTCTGTAATTAATGGGAACGTAAAATGAGGAAGACACATGTATTTTAAATGACTCTTGAAATGTAACCTTTCTAAAGGAATCAATAAATGAAATACAGCCAGATGCGGAATATCTCACCAGAGACATAAAACACTCATCATTCTGATATGTTTGAGGTTCCCTACAGTATTTGTATGAAATAATAGAGTTCAAACTTGTTTCCATTAACCCCAGTGCTGCTTATTAATGATTTTTTCAGGGACATGGATACAGTCAAATTCAGGTTAGGTGTTTGGAATCACAATACAGATAAAAGGAAAAAGGTTAATCCAGTCAATGGAATAGGCCAAAACCAGGACTGCCTAAGTTTATAGCATCTTTTCCTCATTTGCCACTTGGTCAGTAGCAGTTTGTTTTAAATAACAGCTTTCTCTTAAATAACAAACCTCCCAGCTGAGGGCCTAAATATAGTATTAACTACCCAGTCTATGATGTTGGGATTATCTTTAGGACCACAATACTGTGATTTTGGCTTTTGACCCGTGAGAATATTTTTTCTTTGCCTAAGAAAAGAGAAATGTAGTAGTCTACATCTTGGGGGACTTCCACATATAACAAATGTAATCCTTCAGGATATTCACACTGAGACAGAATTTACTGCCATATATAAATTATGATTATGTACATTTATTTCTCCATTTTTCATACATTAAAATGTGATGCTAAACGATAGTAGGAAACTAACATATCACTGCCAGAGAACCAAGACCCCAGATCTGAACAGTGCTAAGTTCTGAGACATTGTGGAACTGAATCCCTTCTGACCTTAATATCTATGAGTTTATGAATCTGAAGTGAAATTTAGTGGTAGGCAGCTAAAATAAGCCAACCCAAAAGCCTAGAGCTAACCCTCCCAGCTGCCCAAGAAGCTTGAAAGTTCAGATCTGGATCTAAGCTGTATGACTCAGCCACATCAAGGAAAAGGATGGTGTGACAGGGTGCAGGTGCACCCAGTCCTTGGCCACCTCAGGAACTGCTCAGACTCCTTTTTTTGTCCAATCTGTATAATTTATTCAAGTCCCACCACCAATACCTGCACAGTACAACACAACAGTCCTAATTTCTATGACCTTCAGTCCCTGTTCATCAGGGTACTGGGAGGAAAGGAGAAATCTCTTTCTTGGGATCGCCTTCAACCTGGTCACAGCTAGCCCTGTCCTCCCCACGCTAACACTTCCTTTCTGTCTTTATTAAACTAGTTAGCTAATGGGCCAATTAATTCCTTAGCTCGCCCAGCTTCCCTATCTGATTAAACTAATTCCTCCCTATCTCCTCAGTCAGATGTTGCTGGGGAAACTAATTGAGGCTACAGTGATCAGAGTTCAGACTCATCTGTCAGGCCTCAGCACTCTGTCACAAATGGTCTTAGGCTAAAGCACAGGACTTGAGGTCAGAAAATCTGGGTTTTGTTCCTAGCTGTGCTACTGACTTGTGTGTGGCTTTGGGCAAGTCACTTAACCTTTCTCTGCTTCAATTTCCCCATCTGTAAAATACAAGTATAGATGCTTATCTATATCATGGATGTTCTGAGGACTAATTCGTGGCTGCTTTTTGATAATCTGATGTAAGTTGTTATAGAAAGACAAAATGCTAACACTCTCATAAACAATATTCTCTCTCAATTCAGTGGAGCAAGAAGACTGAGTAATAATAAAGAGAACTGGATTTGTAATTAAGTTGAAATTACTCTAGATTTTCATGACTTTCTGCTTCAGTGCCAGATTCAGACCTGTTGGGGAAAAAATGGGGTTGAACCCTCTTATACTAGACCTGAATTTGGCCCTCATTGTCTGCATTGTTACATGCAGAATGGGTGACTAGTGTGTAAGGTATATAGTCACCCTAATTCATTCAAAAGTATATTTCATTTCCAACTGTTGTAGTCTAGTCTCTTTGCATGAAATTTGCCCCTCTGTAGAGGGCCCATTCATCATGCAAGTTCTATTTAAACCTTAAAGTATAGGTAAGTCGTGCTAGTCTTTTGTACAGAAGTGACAAGTAGACATAGATCGAGGAGTGCTTGTGGCACCTTAGAGACTAACAAATTTAAGGTGCCACAAGTACTGTTTGTTCTTTTTGCTGATACAGACTAACACGGCTACCACTCTGAAACCTGTAGACATAGATGTAAGCTTTCAAAATGCTTTGCAAATCACACCTATTGTGGGCTCTCCAGCAGGAGAATTCAATGAGCCAGAATGATATAGGTGCATTTGCTGCAGAGTGCACTAGAATGAAGAGTGATTCCAAGCATTATTCAGATTCATGAGTGCAGGCTTTTCTCATGTACACTAGCAGAAACAGTGTGAGATCGGTTCAGAAATCTCTTCCATTATAAATTTCAGCTCAAACCTGAAATCTGAGTTATGCAAATGTGCAGTATGCTACCTAGCTAGCTATATGTGCTTGCAGGAAAGTTGAAGGAGCTAAAGGTGTCTAGGTTCTTTGAATGGCTAGGCCTGACAAATGATATATTCCTAAGTCTTAGGAAAGAATGTGAGTTTAACAGTACATTAACTTTGGCAACCAACAGAATAGAAAAGGTTACAGCCAAAAGTTGGCAGATCAATTCTTGGAATGTTTAAAAAAAAAGGAGCTCAGAATAAAAAGGTTAGGCTTTATTCTTTCCACATGTATTTGTAGCAAGGGGATAGATTTCAGGTTTCAGTCTGTTCCATTCTAATGGTGGTTTTCTCTTTGTGTGTTTTGCTACTTATTCCTGCATCAGTTATATTGTAGACCACTTGGCTTTACATTAAGATGATTTTATAAACTGATGCATTTACAAAATCAGCTGACCAGAAAGGAATATGCATTAAAATATTTGCATTTACATTTGCATGCCTTCTACTGCAAATTATGATTAGATAACAACTGGCAATAGTATACTCATCCAAAAACCAAAAGGCAAACAAACTTTCAGGAAGTAAGGGAACAGCTGACTGTGAGATGTGGGCAGATTTTCAAATCTCCTCATTGTAAAAACACGAATGAAACTGAAAATGTGTTTGTATTGTAAAGGGATCAAAAGTGAAAAGGGATGGAAGAAATAAATACTTTTGTGTTCCCTTCAAAAGGGACAAGCAATAGTTCATAAGAAAGGGCTTCTCTGAAAATAAACAAATCATTTCTAATACAGCCATCAATGCATTATAATGCAGTATCAATGTATACAAGCACCATGACTCTTTCACTTACTTCCCCAGTCATAATAATTTCTGCTTTGCTGCTAATACGTGAAGACGTGTTGGCTCCAAAACTCACTCTCTGTCTCCTTTTTAACATTAGTGTAGTTTACAGATTGATAAAACTGAGTAGGGCTCCTATGAGTGCCCAGGGGATGTATGTTCAGATTTGTGTTGTTTCTCTCCAAGTGTTGGATATTGTGCTCTTCTGCACACTCTTTTATGATGAACAGAGGGGGGCTTTTAGGGCCCCAGCTGATCTAGGAATGCTGACAATGCTACCTCTGTGTGGCATCATTCTACCTCTATACACCAATAGTCCACGGGTTTTCTGAAGGATTCAGGTGCTGGAGACTGGGGAGGAGCAGGCCAGGAGCTGAGTAGAGGGGAAGGCCATTTCCACAGCACTGTTCCAAGCATCGCAGTGCAAATTTAGGGCCAGATTGTGATACCCTTACTCACATTGACTAGCACTGTGTGCTACACATGTTCCCATTGATTTCAGGCTCATAATCTGGTCATTAATGAATGGGTGTCAGATTCTGATACTCTTACTCCGTCCCTGCTCCCATTGATATCAATATATATAGACATGATCACGCAATCACTTAAAATTAGCAATGGGTTAAAGCCACACAGTTGATCCAAACCTTAGCCCAAAATGCACATCAGACCAAAATGGAAACTTTAGCGTTCATAGAGGCTTAACTGTTTTTAAAATTGTTTCATTTTCCATCCTCTCCAGGTTTTGTCTGCAGATGGGCAGGACGTGAGATGAGCCTTGACTGAGCATGAGCTGTAGGCTGTGCATTGAGTTTTGTTAAACAAATAAGGAACCTGTCTGATGCTCCCAACTGTGATTTTAAAAAACATTATTTTTCTTTTAAAAATATAATTGTAAATATATAATTTTACTCCCTGGTTTCATCTGGCACTACAAAGAGAAGCAAGGATAAGCTATTTGCAACTGTAGCTGTTGCAGCATTACCAATCCCCTGGATGCAGGGAAGATCAAAAGAATTAGGAGAGCCTGACAGCTCTGAGTGACATTTCTGGTCCAGATTCTGATCCTCTGAGGTCCAGAGTACTTTCAACTCAGTTATTTTTGAGGGCGCTCAGTAGAATAGAGCTCCAGTTTTGCAGATCCAAGAAATTTGGCTAAGATTCAGATAGGCATCAGAACATGTGATTTCTTATCTGAACTGAGCATTTGAAGGTTCATTTTAAATGCATTGGTGAGACCACTGGAATTTGGTTTTTCAAAACTCTCAAACTACTCCGTAGGTTTTTAAGTGTGTTTGAGTTCACAAATGGGGATGGATGGATCAGTGTTCAAGTCGGGCACCCCAACAGTGCCTGGCTCAGACTGAGGAAGCTAACGATCAAGCCAGGGGACCAAATTGGTAATGAATAGGTAATGAATCCTGGTCACATGCCATCTGAGGCACGTTGCGCATACACTAAGTTCACAAACCTTCCTTCCTGTACTTTAAACTAGGGCTGTCAAGTGATTACAAAAATTAACAGCGCAATTAATTGCGCTGTTAAACAATAATAGAATACCATTTATTTAAATATTTTTGGACGTTTTCTAAATTTTTCAAAAATATTGATTTCAATTACAACACAGAATACAAAGTTTACAGCACTCACTATTTTTGATTACAAATATTTGCACTGTAAAAAACAAAAGAAATAGTATTTTTCAATTCACCTACTACAAGTACTGTAGTGCAATCTCTTTCATGAAAGTTGAATTTACAAATGTAGAATTATGTACCAAAAAAATCTGCATTGAAAAATAAAACAATGTGAACTTTAGAGCCTACAAGTTCAATCAGTCCTACTTTTTGTTCAGCCAATTGCTCAGACAAACAAGTTTGTTTACATTTGCAGAAGATACTGCTGCCTGCTTCTTGTTTATAATGTCACCTGAAAGTGAGAAGGGGTGTTTGCATGACACTGTTATAGCTAGTGTTGCAAGATATTTATGTGCCAGTTTCACCTAAGATTCATATGTCCCTTCATGCTTCAACCACCATTCCAGGGGACATGCATCCATGTTGATGACGGGTTCTGCTTGATAACCATCCAAAGCAGTATAGACCGATGCATGTTCATTTTCATCATCAAGAGTCAGGTGCCACCAGCAGAAGGTTGATTTTCTTTTTTGGTGGTTTGCATCTGAGTGTTGCTCTTTTAAGACTTCTGAAAGCATGCTCCACACCTCATCCCTCTCAGATTTTGGAAGGCACTTCAGATTCTTAAACCTTGGGTTGAGTGCTGTAACTATCTTTAGAAATCTCACATTGGTATCTTCTTTGCGTTTTGTCAAATTTGCAGTGAAAGTGTTCTTAAAAAGAACAACATGTGCAGGTTCATCATCCGAGACTGCTATAACATGAAATAAATGGCAGAATGCGGGTAAAACAGCAGGAGACACACAATTCTCCCCCAGGGAGTTCAGTCACAAATTTAATTAACACATTATTTTTTAACAAGCGTCATCAGCATGGAAGCATGTCCTCTGGAATAATGGCTGACTCATAAGAGGCATCTGAATCTTTAGTGCATCTGGCAAATAAATATCTTGCAATGCCAGCTACAACAGTGCCATGTTTAACAGTGCGATTAATTGGTGAGGGGCTGGCTGAGGGTGCACTGTAGGGGAGGCGGACACGATCCCCTGGTGGGGCATCCGCCGGCGCCTGTCCTGCTCCTCTGGGTGCTGGGCAGCGCAGGTGCAGTCCCTGGCATGCACTGCTGCTGGCGGCCCCTGGAAAAAGGCCAGGGGAAGGGAGCGGCAAGTCAGGGGTCTCAGCTCTCGCATGCTGCTGCTTCCACAGCTCCTTTTGGCAGTGAACAGGAGCAGCGACGGGACAGGGATGCATCCACCAGCCAGTCAGGTAAAGTAACCCAGCGGCTGCAACTGGGACCTAACCCCGAGCTCCCCCTCCCGGGCACTGCCCCCTATACACACACACACACACACACACCAGCCCCTTGCCTTGAGCACCAAACGGGAGCTCCTGCACCTCCCCATCCCCACCTGCACCCCTCGCACCAAACGGGTGCTGCCCCAGGTAAGCGCTCCACATCCCAACCCTCTGTCCCAGCCCTGAGCCCCCTTCCACACCCTAACTCCTGGCCAGACCCTGCACCCCAACCCCCAGCCCACTCCTGCACCCTAACTCTCTCCCAGACCCCACACACCAACCGTGAGCCTCCTCCCACATCCTAATTGCAGGCCAGACCCCACACCCCAATGTGGTTTTTTTTACATTTTTTTATATAAAGCGCTCTTATCCAAAGTACTTTACAATAGTTAGATAACAGTACAAACAATATTTGGCAAGATCATTAAATGGTCCGCCGAGACCCTTAGCAATTTTCAAGTGGTCTGTGAAAAAAATGTTAGACTACACAAACAATCAAGGTACCTCACTTTATTTTCATTTATTTCCTATTACTTATAATATAGGAGGAGGAGGAAGAAAAAAAGAATGAAAAACAGGGATGGGGGAGATAAGAGAGAGTGTTCTTTTTCTTGGCTGGGTCCCCAGGGGGGGGCCCTAAAAATGAAGCTGAGCACAGGGCCCCACTAACTCTAAATCCGCCACTGGTGAGAGAGGTGGAGCTGTATCTTGTCATGTGACCTTAAATAAGCTTGATCACCTTACTTCACTGCTACCTCTTCATACCTCCAACTATCTAAATAATGTATGCAGATGAACATTACATTAGCTATAATCTCAAACACTTGGGAACTACGAAACACCTTGAATTTGGGGAAGAGAGAGATGAAAGCATTTCTTTTGCTCTGAGGTCTTATATCCAGATATCACAGTCTGTTTTGATACCACATGCTAAGATAAAACCTGACACTATCCTGAAACTGAACTGTGGTGGGTGCAGTGGAGGTATTAGCTACAAACCCATCACCAGCCTTCCACCCTGCCAGCCAACTGTCTACTCTACCCAGCTCCAGCCACCTCTCATCTAGCCCACAGTACCCCAAAACTTACCTGTTTCTTCCTGTGACCCAAATTCCACAAGCTTTTCTATCAGCAAAGATTGCAGAATATAGTGTGTCGCAGGATCATTTTCTGTGTTTTTTGCTGGTCACACAGCAGAAATGATGCAGAACCACTGATCTGGTTGGTAAAGCAAAGGCATAGGGAGCCTGAAGAGGTTTGTACAAACCAACATGTTTGTTAATTGTAACGTTGGTCTTACTTGTCTTCCTCCAATGTTTATATTAATAAAAAGATTTTTGCCTCAGGTTCCATCTTGGGAATATCAGAAAATGCTTACCAGAGCTCCTGGGCTGTTTCATGGCGAAATTGTATTTGTGATCTGTCAATAAATCTCTGCTATTACAGGGGATAGATTCAGAGGGATCATTATGTATTATTGCAAGTCATATGAGTGCCAAAAAAATCAAGGTCCCATTTCCATTAGGGATGCAGAAATAAACTAGGGGTTTGTCAGATGCATTGGCTATTGATGCACAATACCAGGCAACATGACTCATGACTCTATCTGGAAGAAGAGAGCGTGACAATGAGAAGGGACAGTGAACCTTACTGCCTGCAGAATTGCTCTCAGGGACATGTCTCTGACCCTGATTGCCTCCAAATTCATTCTCATTAATCTCTCATGACTCCACAGCCTTCAGAGTTTCCCTCCTTGATCACTCTGTGACCCAGATTGCCTTTAAATTGTTCCAGAATGACCCATACATGACCCCATTACTTCCTCACTTTCCATGTATGATGTCCTGTGACCCCCAGTGTCCTGCTATACGCTCTCATTGACCCTTCTCTGACCCAGATTGCCTTTTAATTTTCCTCATTGACCCCTGAATGATCCCTCAGCCTCCCAGCTTGTTATTCATGACCCCATGTGAGCCCACTGCCTGCAGAGTTGCTCTCATTGACCACCTCACTGACCCTGATTGCCTCCAAATTCATTATTAACCTAGCATAGCCCGAAAGGCTCCAGACTTGCCCTACTTGAACATGCTGTGACCCTGATTGCCTTTAAATTGTTCCAGATTGACCCAGGCATGACCCCACTACCTCTTCACCTGCAATGCATGACTTCATGTGACGCCCTGGTGTTGATTCACCCTCTCAATCTTCTGTGACCTTGATTGCCTCTAAATTTTCCTCATTGAGCCCTCAGACTCCCGCCTTGTTCTTTATGACCCTATGTGAACCCACTGCTGACAGAGTTGCTCTCATTGACCTGTCTCTAACTCAGATTGCCTCCAAATTCATTCTCATTAACCTCGCATGACCCCCACAGCCTTCAGACTAGGTGTATTTTACCAGTTTGTGACCCTGATTGCCCTTAAATTATTCTGGATTGACCCATACATGACCTCCCACTACCAATGCATGACCTCATGTGACCCCCAATGTGTTGATTTACCTTCTCATTGACCCCTCTCTGACCCCGATTGCCTACAAATTCATTCTTATTAACCCACAGCCTTCAGACTTGCCCTCCTTGACCCCTCTGTGACCCTGATTGCCTCCAAATTTATCCTCATTGACCTGGCATAACCCCACTGCTTTCAGACTTGCCTTCCTTCACTACTCCGTGACCCTGATTAACTCCAAGTTTCACCTGATTGACCCCTTCATGACCTCTCTGTCTACTCAGCTGCAAAATCAACGACCTCATGTGACCCCACAGCCCTGATCTTCCCCTCAGACTCACCCTTCTGTGTCCCTGATTGCCTCCAATTATATCCTCATTGATGCCAGAATGACCCCATATCTCCAGCCTTGCTCTCCATGACCCCATGTGAACCCACTGCCTGCAGGATCACTCTCATTGATCCCTTTTGACCCCAAGGGGGTCATATCAAGGGAGTGGGATTTACTCAAGGTTGGAGGGCGGAGGGGTCATGCATTGGTCAATGAGCATAGATTTGGAAGCAATCTGAGCCACAGAGGCGTCAACGAGGGGCATATCAAGGCTGGTGGTCCAAATTAATTCATGGATTGCAAGGGAGGATATAGTCGAGTTAGGCAAGGGTCAATCATGAAAAACTTGGATACAGGATGGGTCTCTTAGAGCAAGTCTTCAGGCAGTGGGTTCACATGGGGTCATGAAGATCAAGGCTGGAGGTAGTGGAGGTTATTCAATGATCAATGGAATATTTTGGAGGTAATCAGGGTTGGAAAGGGGTCAATGAGAGCAACTCTGGAGTCAATGGGTTCATATGGGGTCATGCAGAGCAAGGTGGCAGGCTGTGTGGTCATACACGGGTCAATGAGGAGTAAAATTGCAGCATTTTGGGTCACAAAGGGGTCAATGAGAGCAACCTTGCAGTCAGCAGGTTCACATGGGTTCACGAATAACAAGGCTGGAGCTAGTGGGGATGATTCGAGGTCAATGAGGAATAATTTGGAGGCAATCAGCCTCGCAAAGGAGTCAATGAGAGCAATGCCTCAGGCATTGGGTGACATAGGATCACAGAGAACAAGGCTGGAGGTAATAGGGTCATGTAGGAATCAATCTTGTTACTTTTTTTTTTTAGTGATGGAT